TCTTTTTTTGAGACATGTTACTCAGGCTCGAGTGCAGTGGTGCAATCTCAGCTTACTGTAACCTCGACCTCCCAGGTTCAAGAAATTCTCCTGCCTCAGCCTTCAAAGTAGCTGGGATTACAGGCATGCACCACCATGCCTAATTGTTATATTTTTAGTAGAGATGGGGTTTTGCCATGTTGGCCAGGCTGGTCTCATACTCTCGACCTCAAGTGATCTGCCCACCTCAGCCTCCCAAAGTGCTGAGATTACAGGTGTGAGCCACCACATCTGGCCTCTATAATTGTTTTTCTAATTATAACACCTTGACACAAATGTAAGTTGACTTCAAGACATTCTACTTCTTCCAATCCTGGTTTTTTCTTTAATGTGGACAAGACTCAGTTGGACTCTCAAGAGGAGGTGGGTTTTCAGTTTGCTATCTGTTTCTAATAAGAGAGAGTAAAAGGTTCTCTTTCCACCCCTTTACATTCTAACTAGGCAACTAGAGCATATACTTTTACATTTCACACATCTGACAAAATTTATTCTAATTCTTGCCTTTGGAGCTGGTTATAGTTCTGGAGTTGTTCATAATCATAGACGGTAGTAGAAGTAAGAGTCTCTTACCTCAGCTCAGCATATTTCTAATAGTTCTGGTATAAAACATGTTGCTCAGCAAAACTTCATAGTAGTGCTCTATGTGGAAAGTTCTGGTTGATGCTGCTGTTCAAGGGAGAGGTCACAGTCCTTACCCTAGCCATAGTGCCATTTTTGTTCCCACCCACTAGTCTCCTTTAGCAACGATGTCTTATTTTAAGGAAAGGATCCAAATTCAAAGAAGCTCTCTTGAACAAACAGGATAACTTGAACATCCAGATAACCTCTGAAATTCATTGTCCCCGCCTCCTTTTACTGTCACCCAAATGCATTCTCCCTCACCATATACATGGGACCCATGACAAGATACAGGGGTTCAAAGGTGTGTAATAAGAACAGCTAGGAATAACTGGTACACCCCAAATTGTTGTGAATGAGGTATATCAATACCAATACTGTTTCACTTGCTCCGTTTGTCAAGTCACAACATGAGCACATCTATCAAGACAAAGAACACCAAGTCACTCTCATCCATTAGGGCCACTTGTAAACATTCAAATTTTATCCAGATGAAATAATATTCTAAATGTCAGTATTTTTATGTGTTTTTGGAATGGGCAGAAGCATCTTTCAGCTTTTAACTACATCAGTTAAAAGATCCTTAGATTTATCCCTAGAGATCCCTAGATTTAGGTTACCTCTAGATTTAGTATATCCTTGCTGATAAAAAGAAGACATGCTTTACAGGTCAGATTAAAGGAAGTGTGTTAATATGTATGCATTCTAACTGCAATATCATTGTCCATCAGTCGCAGCAGTAGCACATCAAAATGAAATACTGCAAAATAGAGGCCCATGACCCTCAAGAGTAGGAGAAGTAGAGCTAATTCAGAAGAAAAGAAAAACTAACCACACCTATTCCACAGAGCAGCCACGGTGAGCTTCAAAAACCAGAAATCAGATAATGTGGTTTCTGATCATATTTAGAAAAAACTCAAAGGTTACAAAGCCTGTATCAGGCCTACTTGCTTCTCTGACCCCATTTTGTAGCACCTTTTCCTTCTTTTCTACTCCTTAGGTTATACTGCCATAAAGTAGAGCACCCTTAGGAAGGCACATTTTTGAGGAGCCAAAAAGCAAGTCTGTGGCACATTATGACTAAACTAATGCACTTAATACTATCAGGGAAGAATCAGCAGGTATCTTTAAAGACAACTAGCCTCTCACACAAATGCCTAACTATGTCATTCACAAATATTAACAAAAATCCATTATAGAAAAAGCCAAGTATGTACCAGCGGGCTCTTAAAGATGTGGCCATCTGGATCTGAAATAAATATACTGTAACTCAACACCAGCACAGTTTTATATACTTGATAATAACTGTCATACTGGAACCTCTTCTGAAATTATAAATGAATGTGTCTACTTTAACATGCAATGGCTGTGAGGTTGAGTCCAGTAAACCTCAAACGTACTTGGAAGTCTCTTCCATTATTTACAATGGTAATTCAGCTACGTGATTCCAGAAAGCAAATACTAAAAGCAACTATAACAAATACCACATGTAAGGTAATTGCTAGTCACAGTATCGCTTTCTGGGAAGTTCTCAAACACATCCCTTTCTGAAAGGTTTCACAGAGTCATGAAGAATCTCCAAGCTTGTTTATACAAACCCTCTCCTCTCCTCTTTCCTTTCCTTTCTTCCCCTCCTCATTCTTGCCATAGCTAATTAAACTGCTGATGAATGCCTGACAAGGAGGCAGCATTAACAGATCTGCTGATGTCCCATGAATTGGCCTGGAATAAACACTATGTCCCCCTCCCCAAATATCCTATATTAGGTTGCAATCAACAGACTCAGTAAAATCTTCATATGACCTCTGAATGTGAAACAAAAAAGGATAAAGAATCTAAGACAACCAGACAAGAGACATAGCCAAAGCCATGAGTAAGCAGAAACCAGTCAGTCTTAGTAAGAGCAGAGAGAGTAGCTGAGGCTCCATTTTGACACAGCATTACAAAAGAAGAGGACCAGGTGGTGTTCGCAGAGGTGCTGGGGTAATAAACTTCCTGGAGCTGCATTTTACCCTATTCAACACATCCTAATTCTCCTTGAGGTCTTCTGACATGGTTTCCTGTTCTTAATCTCCTCATGGAGTTTTTCCATAAATCTCTACTACATGCACATCTCTCTACTTCCTAGTACATGATGCTCTCTCATTTCTCTGCTAGGGCTGCTCTTTTCCTCATCTTCCCCAACTCAATATAACACAACACCCCTCTGGTTATCCAAGCCAAATACCTGGGAAGGATTTTTTAAAACTTCTTATTATGGATATTTTCAAGTATCAACAAAAGTAAAGAGAATAATATCTATTACTCACCCTGTGAGAATATCAATCTTTCAACAATCATGTTTTATCTGTTTCACACCATACCCCAGACAAAAGAAGTTACTGATTTTTCACTTTCCTCTCATCCTTTATAACCAGCTCACTGGAAAATCTTATTACCTCTGAAATTATCCGGAATCCATCCATTACCCGGTTTCACTAATATACCACCTTAATCAAAGGCACAATCATCTCTCAACTAAGCTACTGCAACAGCCTTGTAATTGGTCTCCCAGTTTCTACTTTTGCTCCCAACTTCAACCTATTGCAAACAGCAGCCAATATGAGCTGTCAAAGTCAGAAATCAGGTAAGGGTAGTTTTCTGTTGCATTCAGAATAAACACCAAATCCACAAAGCTTGACAGCTGGCCTGCTTTTTCCTCTGCCCCATCTTGCAACAGTCTCAGTCCTACTCTATCACACTGGCCTTCTTTATGTTCCTTCAAACTCCCAAGCCCATTCCTGCCTCGAGACTTTGCATGAGCTGTTATCCTGGCTAGATGCTCTCTGTCAGATTTTCAAGTTGTTGACTCCATGTTGCCTTTTAGATCTCAGTTTAACTGTGACATCCTCTCAAAAGACTTCCTTAACCACCCAATCTATAACAGTCACTTATCACTTGCTATCGCATTACTATTTGAATTCTCTGCATACCTATTACCATCACTTGACACTTTTCAACCATCTTTCTTTTTTATGTCTCCCCTTCTCATGGAGTAAAAGCTCCCAGAAATAAGACTGTAAAAAAACACCTATCTAATATTATTCTTCTTTCTTTAAAAAAAAAAAAAAATCCTGATTTGTTCAGATATCAACTCCTCCTGTGTAGCCACGGGCCTCAAGAGAAGCTGACTCTTTTCTCCTCCAACTCCAAGGAATAATATGATTCAAGAATGAATATCTCATATCCCTTGCCAGTGATTAGTTCAGAAATGAGCATGTGGCCCAATCCTGGCCAAGAAGATTTAAGGAAACGTTTGCTAGAGACATCTAAGAAAGTAGTTCCCTAATTCCTAGAAGAGTCATGAAAAGCCTGAGTCTTTTTCTCTCTCTGTTAATGAAGAAACATGTTGCCCATTACATCTGTGAGTGAAACAGGCATTAGGACGAAGCCAATGCTGCATATACAAAGTAGACAGAAGGAAAGAACTTGGCATATTTGAATTGCCTGATCAACCAACCCGGGAGTCCCTTCTATCTTTGGACTTCCTGTTATGTAAGTTAATTTCTTTGTATTTAAGCCAATTTAAGTTAGATTTTCTATTACTCATTTGTGAAAATATACTAACATATATATGAACTTTGTCTACCCTGTTCTTTGCTATACTCCCAGCACCTAGAAAAATACCTAGAATATGGTAGGTACAGCAAATATTTGAGAACAGTAAAAGAATGTAAAAGAATAACATGAAAAATAAAGACTCTTAAAACAATTATTCTCCATTTAGCCCACTACTATGGTTTGAATGTGTCTCCAAAAAGCATGTGATCAAAGTTTAATCCCCAATGGAACAGTGTTGGGAAGTGGGGCCTAATGAGAGGTAATTAGGCCATGAGAGCAGAATGAATAGATTAATGCCATTAATGAGGGAGTCAGTTCACTATTGTGGGAGTGAATTTCTTATAAAAAGAGGAGTTTGGCCCATGTTTTCTTTCTTCCCACAACCCTCAGGTCTTATCACCTTCACCACATTATGATGCACCAAGAAGCCTCCTTGCCAGATGCTGGTCCCTGATCCTGGACTTCCCAACATCTAGAACTGTGAGCCTATCAATTTCCATTCATTATGAACTACCCAGTCTCAGGTATTGTTATAGCAACTCACAATGAATGAAGACACCTGCTTTATCTACAGTGTCATTAAGTTATTCAAGAAGACATATCTAGTTCAGAACCATTAAGTAAGCACAAATATGTTCTTGACATAGATTTTAAAATGTCAACCTGATACTGAAATATGTCACCATCATTACAAAAGGAAAATGCCACTATCAAAAAACATCCACACGTTTGTAAAGACTTACAGGTTCTTGGGATTCGGTTTCTTCCCATGCTCCCCAACCATCATCTTCCCAGTCTGTTGATTTACCTATTTTTAAAAAGATGAACAATGCTTGCATGAAATACAGAGCTTTAAATATCTTTAAAGCATTGTTTTAAACCTAATAATAGAACCAACCCCTGTATAATGCTGATGTTAAGGAAGAAAATAATGGTAAACTGTGTTATAGTAGGATTTTGCTATATGCGATAACAATCAGAAAATATTTGACCTACTGAATTTCTAAATGTATGTATTAGTAAAACTGTGTGCAAGTTATTAGTAAAATTATGTGTCAGTTACTTGGATCTTAAGATACTGGACATCAAGTTAATTCACACTCAAACTACAAAGTTGACTTTTAAAAAATCTAAAAATAACAAATGTTTATTACTCAATATATTAAACAAATATACACAGTGACAAAGGAAACACCTAAAATTTCACACGGATGCCTTTACAAAGTAACTTGTTTTTTGATAAGATAAAGAATCAGTGAAAAAGTAAACTGAATTTTGAAACCAGACAAACCTACCATTCTGCACCCTTTTCTGATATTCTGTTATTTCTTATATGTGGGAACATCCTCTCAGAGGAAAATAAGATGGTCAACAACAGTGCAACAAGGGATGTAAAAGCCCAGATAGGGTTAGAGAGTACAGTATGTTCCCTTACGATGCCCATGTGACTGGCTTTTACATAATCATCTTTTAATTTATCAGAAGAGAAAAAAACTATCATTTTTTCAACAACTACTCTGAGACAAGCAGGAGATACTTTATATGCAATAAGGTACAAATGAAACTTTAGGCCTCAGAATCACACTAAGTTTTATTTGAACTTTTATCTTCTTAAAAAATTTAATTTGAGGTGTTTTATATATATATATATATATATATATATATTTTTTTTTTTTTTTTTTTTTTTTATAGGGAGTCTCGCTCTGTTGCCCAGGGTAGAGTGTAGTGGTGCAATTTTGGCCCACTGCAACCTCCATCTCCTGGGTTCAAGCCATTCTCCTGCCTCAGCCTCTGGAGTAGCTGGGACTACAGGCACATGCCACCACACCTGGCCAATTTTTGTATTTTTAATAGAGAGGGTTTCACCATGTTGGCCAGGTTGGTCTTGAACTCCTGACCTCAAGTGATCCGCCCCCTTGGACTCCCAAAGTGCTGGAATTACACACGTGGGCCACTGCATCCACCCTTGAGGTAATACATATAAAGTATTGAATGCTTGCTCAAATCCTGGACCTAGCACTTACTATCTCTGTGACCTAGTGCAAATTACCCACTTAAACTAGTTTTTAATCATAAAGGCATGGAAAACAAGAGTACCTATATCTAGTAGGGTTGTTGTAAGGACTTACACCAGGATAGCATACTGAAGTCCTCAGTGCCTGACACATACCAAGTTCTCAATGCTGGTCAAGACTTAGCTAAATAAAATATTATATTTAATATTTAAGCAATCAGCTTTAAAATTCTTGGGGGAAATCCATTTAAAAGATGGGACTGATCCTGATGACTTACAGTAGGAAGGAGGCAAATAGATTCACTTATGTATAAGGTTTTAAAGCTTCCTGAAATCAATTTCATATAGCTAATTAAAGAATTTGTTATAGTCTAGTACTTGGAGTCCCTGTTCGATTAGTTTTGTGCTAACAGTCTAATATTCTGTACTTAAACACCAAATAATTACTTCCTAATAGCATATATTAAGTCCTAAAATAGCACTATTACTTAACATTGCACAATTTATATAGAAGAGTTCCATGTACAAGTCAATTAGCAATTTCACTATTAAACACCATGTGGCAAATCCTGTAGTGGGAGCTGAGAAAAATACAAACATACTCCTTGCCTTTGAAGAACTCATGATCTATTATGGAAGGTAGACAAACATGAAACCATAATACATGGTAAGTGCAGTAATGGACTACTATGGGAACTTGGATGAGAGAGTAAGAGATGGGGAAAAAATATATAAAGAAATTCAGTCTTTACAAAGTAGCTAGGAAGGCTGGGGGAAAACATCTGTAAGAATGAAGAGGCAGAAAGATGCAATGTATATGGCAACTAACATGTATTAAACATTTCTGTATGCTGAAATGCTTTATACACATTATTAGTTCACTTAAACATCGCAGGATCCTTTATTGTCCCCATTTTACAATGAGAAAAACGTATTTCTTGGAGTGTTTAAGTAGTTTGACCAATATCACATAGGAGTAAGTGGCACAGTGGAGCCTGAGTTCACTTCTGAGTTCCAAAACCCATGCTCCTGTAATAACCTAACCTGTGCTAGCTTAACTGACTCCATCTTAGCTGTGAGCCTGACAAGCTCCATTTTTGCATCTCCCTCCCTACCACCTCTCCCTCAGGTGCATAACTGGGCCACACCGACGCTGTGCTATGTCATGCTTACCCTGTGCTTATCCTACCATATAACCACTGTAACTACATCCGGCTTGGCTAACACACCTGTTACTGTGTTTAACTCTCCTTGGTACCCCCTTGGTGATTGGAAAACACCCTGGTCTGCAACCACGTCCCTCCAACCTGCTCATTCTGCTTCTGTAAAACTCCACTTCGGCTAGGCTCCGCCTCCCTTACCTAAATCAAGGCATAAAGGGAAATCAAGGTAGAAAGGGGAATCAAGCCCCTTCCTCGGGCTGAGAGAATTTTGAGCGTTAGCCGTCTCTCGGTCACCGGCAAATAAAGGACTCTTAGTTTGGAACTCAGAGCGTGGCGCTTTCCTTCTGACTCCCTCAGTTACCACACTCCTAAGTATTAGACTACATGTACTCCTACTGTGGCACATGAGGGTAAAATTAGGGAAAAGTAGGTTTTACAGTTAAGGCCAAAAGTAACAGGGTTCTTATTTTAAAATAGAAACAATCCCTTAATGTTGTGATTTAGAGGTTTTTTTTAAACTTGGAAAATTACAGTTTGTTTTTTGGCAATGTAATTCAATTAGGCAATCTTTATTTTGCTCATTTTTCTACTGCACCAAAAACAATTGTCTTATTGTGGGTTTAAGGCAGACAACTAGGCTATTCCACTTAAAGTTTCAGAGTATGTATTATCTCTTATATTAGAAAGCAAAGTATCTAAAAGAGCTTATTACTATAAAGTTCATGATTCAATTTTTAAATTGCTATAAAAATAACATATATATCAAATTACCACAATCTTGAAAAGACCATGCAGAATTTAGACTCTTCAGGAAGGTTGTAATTATTCATGCATTCAACACACACATCTTTTATGTTTGGGGCACTGTGCTAAGTGCTGGACATATAAACGAAAATAAGCCTTCAAAGAGCTTAGTTTGTGCACATAACCTCTGTCGAATGCTGTATAAAACTATACAGAGTGTGTTATTTCTCCTCCACATTGGTATAAAAAGCACCTGACTCAATTCACAAACGACTCATATAAGCAAATAGAAGACAGCAGTAATTTGGATTTCCTACCCCTGCAGAGAACCAGTATCTCTCTATGCCACAATTCAGAACCTCCAAGAAAAAAAAAAGACCTTGAGAAATACTTTATATAAGATATTTAGGTTCATGAAGGTTTACCCATTTTCAATGCCCTTGACTGGAAAGGTTCTTTCAAGAAAAAGGAAAGAGAATTCAACTGGGCATCTTCTATTATCATAGGAATACATTTTCCCCAACCAAGTCAAGATAAAGGGAGGTGAAACAGCACTATTATTCAGGTAAGTTAAAGATATTTTTTGTAGGTTGCTCTAGAAGACTAAGTATATTTATAATACTTCAAGAGAATGCGTCAGCTTAAAAACGGGAAATGTTTTGCCAGTGGGGCAATAACCTTGTGGCTATTTCTACTCAGCGCCAGTGATTTAATTTTTGTGGCCTCCTATGTCCTATTGAAAATCATTTGAGAATGTTTTGCAAGCAGCTAGTTGATAGCTATTGTCAGCTATTAAAAAGTGTTAGAATCCCAGCACTTTACCAAAGTTATTTCTTATGCCATCAGATTATGCAAGTGGGCCAAGCACATTCTTTAGAAAAAAAAAGGTATATATTGAGAAAATAGCTGATGAATGTCTAATAAAATTGCCATTCATGTAAAGAATTCTGTTCAGGCACAGTAATTCCTTCAGGTAACCTTTCTAAGAAGGATGGTATTCTGTAATCAATATCATTAGTATTTTTTAATTGATCATTGGTCAAGAATGTAGGTAGCCAAAGCAACGTCCAACATAAGTTTGAGAACTATACACTGTTTTAGGTTAATATGAAATATTATTGTAAGGCCTTGAGGTTTATAAACTCTATGTCATCATGAAGAAATATGACTAATTTGGTTAATTTATTATCAATTACTTCCAAGGAAAGCTAAAAATGGCTCACCATGACTGTCTTTGAGAAGAATAAATAGATCAGTATCTCTTGTAGGACAGGATAATTTGAAATCCCTGAACTCTGATATAACTCAAAAAGGCAAATCAGTTTAACCAAGTGTATCACAGAATTAAGGACACCAGGATAGCCAACTTCTCTAGGACGGTCTAGGTCCAGTGTAAAGATTCCAAACATTCCACCAATCACTAAATCCCATAGCTAGAGCTATGTGGCCCTCATTTCTGTGAAAGGCTAGACTACTAATTATACGGCAATTAAAATTGTCATTTTCTCTATTTATTAAATAAGTAGGAGCCACCCAATCTCCAAAAAGCAATGTTTTTCATTTTACTGTCCAATCCAACAAAACTGGTTAGAAAATTAAGAAAATAGCATTCACAGTTAGTGCCTTCATAAAACCAGCATTACAGTCTCTCCTGCAGATCCTCCTTGGCAGGTACACCTTAAACCTTTACAATGAAGAAAGTAAAATAATGAGTTAGGGATGACTGAAGTTTTGGAGATGGCCCTACTCTCAGAGATTGTTTCAGGAGGTCTGCAACGGATCCAGGAATCTCTATTTAACTACCTTCCCCACCCTGAAAACTCGAGGCAGATGGTGAATGCACGGATCACCTCAAGGATAAACCTGAGTGCTGGCCTAATTTAATCC